TCCATCCACTCACCCACCCATCTACTCACCCACACACCTATCCATCCACCCACCCATCCACCCACCCATCCATCCATTCGCCCACCCATCCATCCATCTGCCCACCCATACACCTATCATCCACCCATCCATCCATCCACACATTTACCCACACACACACTCCTCCATCCACTCACCCACCCATCTACCCACACACACACCTATCCATCCACCCACCCATCCACCCACCCGTCCATCCACTCACCCACCCATCCATCCATCTGCCCACCCATACACCTATCATCCACCCACCCATCCATCCACACATTCACCCACACACACACCCCTCCATCCACTCACCCACCCATCTACCCACACACACACTTATCCATTCACCCACCCATCCACCCACCCACACATTCACATACCCACCCCACCATCCATCTATCCACCCACCTACCCACCCCCACACACACATTCACCCACCTACACACACACCCCTCCATCCACTCACCTACCCACCTACCCATCTATCCCCACATTCACCCAAACACCCATCCACCCCCACACCTCCATCCATCCACCCACATACCCACCCATCTATCCACACATTCACCCACCCACACACACCCCACCCTCCATCCACCCACCCACCCACCCATCTATCCACACGTTCACCCATCCACACACACACACCTCCATCCACTCACCCTCCCACCCATCTATCCACACATTCACCCAAACACCCATCCACCCCCTCACACCCCCCCATCCATCCATCCATCCATCCACTCACCCACCCACCCACCCAGCCAGCCAGCTAGCCAGCCACTTTACTCTCCCATTCCTAGGAGTGCTAAGTCCAGACCAGAACTGAATGTGTACTTCCATCCCCTCTGGGTCTGGGGGGCCACCAAAGTTCCTCTACCTAGCACACATTCTACAAGCCTTCTTTTCAATCTTGTTTCTACCCTAAAGGACACTCAGGCCCAAGGCCCCCCACAGATCAGTTCTAAGCTGGAGGTGTAGCTCAGTGGTACAGAACTTGCCTAGCATACTGAGTACTCTGGATCCCCCAGTACTGAAACAAAATTCTGAACTCTTCTCTCCCCAGGCCTAGAGTGGCCCAGCCCTACAGAGTAACTACAAAATGCTGAGGGGTTGTGTAGTGATAATGGTACCCAGAGCAGGCGAGGGTGACCAAGTAGGGATCTCCCTCACACCTGGGGGTCTTCAGAAGAGCTTTGACGTCTTGGCATTTCTGGGTGCAAGCTATGTCTCCCACCTGGACATCTTTGCCTCTATTTACTTCTCAAAGTCCCTACACATACCTCTTTTCTCTCAGGTACACAGAAGCTCCTCCTTGCCACTCCTCAAGGGAAGGGAGCCTGTGCAGACCCTCATTCCTAGCAACCTTTCACATCTCCCCACTCCAGGCTTCCTGGTGGTGTGGGTCATGTGTCCTTGTGCTTATACATGGTACTGTTGGATGAGTGAGTAGATGGATAGGTGAGGGGATGGATGGATGGATGGATGGATGGATGGATGGATGGATGGATGGGGGGATGGATGGGTGAGGGGATGGGTGGGTAAGGGGATGGGTGGATGGATGAGGGGATGGATGGATGAGGGGATGGATGGGTGAGGGGATGGGTGGGTAAGGGGATGATGGATTGATGGATGGATGGATGGATGGGGGGATGGGTGGGTGAGGGGATGGATGAGTGAGGGGATGGATGGGTAAGGGGATGATGGATGGATGGATGGATGGATGAGGGGATGGATGGGTGAAGGGATGGATGAGGGGATGGGTGGGTGAGGGGATGGATGGATGGATGAGGGGATGGATGGGTGAGGGGATGGGTGGGTAAGGGGATGGATGGATGGATGGATGGATGAGTGAGGGGATGGATGGATGGATGGGTGGGTGGGTGGGCTGGTGTATGGATAGGTGGGTGGGTAGATGGATGGATGGATATAGATGGATAGGTGGATAGGTGAGTAGGTGGATGGATGGATAGTGAATGGATGGATGGGTGAGTAGGTGGATGGATGGATGTCAAAAAATGGAAGGATGCATGGGTGAGATGGGAGGACATGTTCTTCTTTCAGGACCCTGAATCCATTTGCTGCTTTTGTTTCCTCTTGCTCTTGGGGCCTTTTCCTCTAAGCTACACCTGGCTCTGACCAAGGGGAGAAAGTATGATAGCCAACCCCCCAAGGCCCTGGTTCCTCCCCTTTTCTGCTTTCCCAGCCCTTCCCAGACTCCAGGCTCACTTGCTCAAGGTGATATTGGTGCTGTGGTCTCGCTCCTGAGACAGGACGTGGAAAATCCAGTCCTAGAACCCAAGAAGGTAGTAAAGACAATGGCATGCCACCTTCTCTCCCAGTCACGGCCCTGCCACTTGTGGGGAAGCAGAGCCCGGCCCTGCACCTCCCGAAGCCCTGGAAACCCCCAGGCAGGGAGCAAGAGGAGCGTCACAGTGGGAGCTGGGCCGTGTTGTGGGCAGGGGGCTCCACCCCAGGCCCTGGGCTTGCTGCTCCCACCACCCAGAACCCCACCCTGCCCCCGCAGCAGGCCCAGCCCATGGGTCCCGCTTAAAAGTTGCCTTTGACAACGGCTTTTCCCTGACCCCTGGAGGGGTTGTGCCTATAACTCTCGCCCATGGTCCTGTCTGTTGCCTTCATAACCATGAGCACGCCTTGAGGGGATTTAATTTCTGTATGTGTACAACGGGTACTGACAATGTATGGTGAACGTTTAGATTAAAAACTGCGTTACAGTAAAAGGCACATTGCCGTTAATCCCCTCTAGTGCTCCCCCTCGCTTCTCCCACCCATTCCTTTGTTCTTGCCATCTTGAGAAGCAGTTCTGCAAGCCTCTTTCCTGAATGGCTTTGAGAGGTGTGTGAAGACGGCGTGCCACTGTGGTGTGCGTGGTGGTGCACGCCTGTAATCCCAGCGCTGGGGAGGCTGAGACAGGAGATCAGTAGGAGTCCAAGCTGCGTAGTGAGACCCGGTACCAAATTCATAAAGGTGTGTGAAAAGTAGAGAGGATTCTGCTGCTGAGTGCCACCCAGGGCGGGCCGGCGCCTGAACGCAGCACAGCGGGTCCTCACCCCCCGGGCCCCCGGGCCCTTCTGGCGCTTCCCAGGGTCAGTGCCCATGGATGCTAGGGTTTTGAGTCAACTCAGGACATGAAGGTAGCCGTGAAAGTACAACTAAAGACACTCAGGACAGGGGCCTTCTCAGCTGCTCCAGCAGCGGTGAGCGCAGGGGCGCATGCCTGTGATCTAGGAGGCTGAGGCAGGAAAATTGGGAGGCTCTGGGAGGCTGAGGCAGGAGGACTGCAAGTTCGAGTGCTGAGCTAGCCTAGCCACTTAGACCTGCTCAGAGCGAAGTCCAGAGTTCAGTGTCCAGCACAAAAGTGAACAAGCAATGGGGTAAGGTTTTGAAGAGGGAGAATATTTTGAGGGAGATTAACAGCAATGAGCCTTTTACAGTAATAAATGCAAAAAAAATTAAACATTCACAGTTTTTCGATGATACCTCATGTATTGTCCCTCTCCAATTAGACCTTGAGCTCCATAAGTGCTATGTCTGCCTTACGTGCTGCTGTGTCCCTGATGCAGGGCCTGGGGGGCTATTAGGGGACATGAGGGGAACAAGAAGGGAGGGATGCAGTGAGGAAGGGAGGGAGGGAGGGAGACAGGAAGGAGGAAGGGAGGGAAGGAGGGAGACGGAGAGAGGGATGGAGGGAGGGAAAGGGAGGGAGGGATAGAGGAAGGAAGGGAGGGACAGAAGGAGGGAGGGAGGGGGAGGGAGATGGAAAGAGGGAAAGAAGGGGGAGGGAAGAAGGGAGGGAGGGAAGGAGGAAGATGGAGAGAGGGAGGGAAAGGGAGAGGAGGGAGGGAGGGAGACAGGGAAACAGGGAGGGAGGGATAGTGGAAGGAAGGGAAGGAGAGGGAGGGAAAGAGGAAGGGGGGAAAGAAGGAGGGAGGGAGGGAGGGAAAAGGAGAGGAGGGAGGGAGAGAAGGAAGGAGGGAGGGAAGGAGGAAGGTAGGGAAGGAGGGAGATGGAGAGAGGGAAAGGAGGGAGAGGAGGGAAGGAGGAAGGGAGAGAAGGAGGGAGGGAAGGAGGGAAAGTCCCTCTCCAAGTTCCAGAGTTGTCCTGCAGGCCCAAAGACAGGGCAAGGCCTTCGGCACCCCCACCTCACCTCTGAGGCCTCAGAGGGCCAGTCGGCCATGGAAATGGTCATCTTGTACTGGGTATCACTGGAAGAGAGAGGGCGGCCCTGTTGCTGCCCTGCCAAGGCTGTCCCCTCAGCCTCACGCAGCCGTTGCTTCCCTCCCACACTCACTTGCAGGACTCCTTGCACATGCGGATGCAGGACTCCCTCTGGGCCAAGCTCATCCGCAGGTCGAAGTAGCAATGGGCTGGCAGGGGAGGAGGATATGGTGGGAAAACTGGGGGCCTCCGGGGCTGCCCCCACCCCAAGGACCTGCAGCCCTTTGACCCATTCCAGCTTGGAGGCGCCCCGTCACACGCCCACCTCTGGAGGTCAGGGCATCTGGCCCTCGGCGCGGTGGTGGGTCATGGGACCACGCCCAAAGGGCTGAGCGCTGGCGGGGACAAGCCCTGCCCTATCGCCTGTGGGTCGCGTTTGTGTTCAGAGGCGGCAGAGCCCTGCCGTGACGACACCCATGGTCCTCTGGACTCTGAGCCCTTCTGGCCGAGCCCCCGTGCTTCCAAGTTTCAGGCGCTTGGAGGCACCATCAGGACAGGCTTCCCGTCTCCCCCCCAGGCCTAGCACCCGGCAGAGAGGCCGCCGAGGGTGCGCAGCGGCCCTGTGCGCGCATGCGCGAGCCGGGTGCGCGGATGCCGGGGCTGGCGCTGCAGCTCCGCCGTAAGCGCGGGCAGGAAGCCCACTCACCCCAGTCTGGGAAGTCCCGGCTGTTGCAGTATCTCTGTCCCGGGGGCAGGGGGTACAGGTAGTGAGCACAGCTGCAGTTCCGGACCATATGCTCTTGGAAGCAGGAGTGAAGGCAGGCCTGGGGTGTGGAGGGAACACAGGTGTGTTGGGGAGAAGGGGCGCGCCGGGTGCAGTGGGTGTGGCTGTCCTTGTCTCGCGGGCCGGGCCGCAGCCCCCTGGACCCTGCAGAGGGCCTGCGCAGACCCCAGCGCCCAGACCTCCCCACCCTGACCTGGGGTCCCGGAGGGAAGGGCAGGGTGAGATCTCCCCAGACAGCCTGGTCCGCGGGGTGTCAGCGCCCTTCCAAGCTTTCTGCATACGAGGGCCCAGGAAGGCGGCCTGAACCCTTTTCTCCTGGAGGGGCCTCAGGGGCAGAAGGACCAGTGACCTTCCTTCGCCGGCCTAGGGCCGACGCTGGCAGAGGGCGTGGCCAGAAAGGCCCTTGTTTGGGAGGGCGGAGCAGAGCGGGCGCAGGTGTCCCCTCTCCAGAACTGGATGCGGGGAGCCTGCGCTCACCGTGCCCCAACGCCCGGGCTTTCGGGTGCTGTGGCCTGGTTTCAGGGTCTTGAGCAAGCGACTAATGCCTGAGCCTGTTTACTCATGGCCAGAGGAGGCGCTCGTCACGCCTGCCTCCGCCGGCCGGGGCCAAGCTGCTGTTACCTCACTCGTGCCCTCTCCTCCCCTTCCGTGGGCTCCCAGCTCCCACCCACCCTTGCCAGCCGCTCCGGGCTCCGCCCGTGCCCCCAAGGCTGCCCTGCTGCTCCTTCCCACGCGAGGGCGACCTGTCGGGCTGAGGTCCCTGTGAGCAGCAGCGGGGAGCGAGGCTGGCACATTAAATGGCATGGCTAGGAGGCAGAACAGGGGTTGGAGTGTGCGTGCTGGCCGCCTTCAGGCCCCTGGCTCATGGGAAAGCGGCTGTCCAGCCCCTTCCGGCCCCAGGGCCCAGGCCTCCTCCATGGCTCCCACCACCCTGTGCCCCGCAGCGGCTTGGCCGATCCCCAGCCTCTCCACAACAGAAAGAGACCGCTAGGCAGGAGGTGGCCAGCCAGCCAGGCTGAGTGATGGGCCCATCCGTAGGCGGGGTGGGGACAGGAGGGTCAGCTGCCTGTGACTGAGGCACAAAGGGTAGCCATGCCAGGCAAGAGTGGGCACCAGCTGCCTCGACTGTCTTCAGCTTATCTGCCAGCACAGCCTGGGCTGGGGCAAAGGCCACCCTAGCCTGCACTGGAACGCCTTATTCTCCTTTTCCCATGAGGCCGGGTTTGGGAGTGGACAGTGCTTGGCTGACCCTGGAGATCAGCGCAGAGGGAGCCTCCAGCTGCTGCATAGGGGCTTGAGAGCAGATACAGAGGGGGACTCCCCCGGAAGTGGGTGCGGCACTCCGACTGGGGTCACAAGTTCCTCGTTCTCCAAACAGTACCGAAAATAGCACCTACGTTAGGTTAGGGTGGTTACGAGGACTCCGTGATGTAACTTATGTAAAACACCAGCCACGGTGCCAGCCCACGGCAAGCCTGCGCCAATCACGCGGCTATTATTAGTAAGGATTTCCTCACAAGGGGGTTGAAGGGTTCAAACAGCGCTCTAACCTGCAGGCTCTCACACCCACGTGAGCTCCGCAGTGTCGGCTGCTGTTTCTGATTCTTCTTGGGAGACCCCAGGGCTAGATCCCATAGAATGCTGTGTGTCCCCGAAGCCCCATCTGCCCAGGTCAGAGTGAGAAGGGCGTGGCCCCAGGCCTGGATAAGAACCAGGGGATTGTACCAGTGCTGCAGGGCTGGGTGCACTGTGGCCACCTAGTGAGATCCAGCAGATCCGAACTGGAGACAGTGAGGGGAAGGGTGGTAACAAAGCCATTAGGGTGTGTCATGCCCAGACACCAGCCCCACGGGAATACAACCGTGACGCACAGCAAACCTGTACTAGCCAACTATGACTCCGGCAGAGCCGGAGACTGGTGCGGCCTGCCCACCTGGATGGAGTAGGTGGTGTTGTAGCTGCTGTAGAGGTTTCGGATGGCAACATCAGAGCCGTTCCTGGTGCACGGGCTGTAGGGTTCGCCCATGCGCTGCAGCTTGTCCTGGTAGAGAGGTTACTTGTGGGGACCCCTGGGCACCCCAAAAAAGCCCCCTCTGTACCTTTCTCCCATCCAACACTGGGAACAGGATACTGGGAAAGGCAGTGGGCTGTGGGTCCCACAGGTGCCTGAGGGAGGGCTCAGCTTGCCCTGTGGGTTTGGGAAATCGAGCTCAGCTTGGTCTCCACCCAGACAGAGGCAGAAGGGCCAGGGAAGGGGGATAGGGTGCTGGGTCCTTTCCTTCCAAGCTGCCCTGGGTGCCGCCATACCACCAGCACCCCAATGGAGGTCTCGGTGCCCGATGTGGCGTAGATGCCTTCCTCTTTGATGAATGGGTAGGTCCTCTGCTCGTGCAGCACCAGCCGGGCGCCCGCGGTGGACGCAAGGAAGGGGACGTAGTCCTCCTGGTCTATGTCCAGGATCAGCTTTAGACCTAAGGAGGGGCAGGCTGAGGCTGTTGAGCTGCCCTGCACCCGGGCAGCAGAGAGACCCTTTTGCTTGCTCACAGAACTCAGTCTAGCCCGGGGACCCCAGGGTCAGCTGGATGCTACACCCCGTTGGCACAAATGTCAGCTCACACTTTTTGCCTTCTGCACTGCCCCAGTGTATCTTCCCTGGGCTCCTTTTGCCCCACCTCAAATAGTCTCTTTTCTGCACAGTGGGTAGGTCTAGGAGGTATGCAGGCCCATCACTGCCTTCCTGGCCACAGACCATCCTGGTGGCTCTCCGCTCCCTCAGCCCTGTCTATGCTTCTGGCTCCTCGCAGCTAACTGTATACTGGGGGCGGGGTGCCCTCCCTCCTTGAGGAGGCTGGAGGTTTGCAGGTTTGAGCTGAGCCTGGGGGAGCTAGTGATTCCGTAGGACGCTGTTACACAATGAAAACATAGAGGGCTGGGGCGGTAATTCAGAACAACAGAACAAACTGCACAGCACGCAGGCTGAGAGTAAGAACCTGCAGTAAGGGATCGCGGGTAGGAATATCCAGCGTCCTCGGAGTCCTGCTCCTGGGCGTGGGGCAACAGCTGACCGGGTGAGGTCACACTGTCTGCTCCAGGCACCCACGCCCAGGGCTCCGGAGGGGAACCAGGCCTTGAGAGGTAGGTCTTGACTCAGAGGCACCCGATGAGTCGCTGTGGAGCCCCAACCGCAGCCCAGCCGCTCTTGGGCCCTTGCTTTCTCCAGGCAAGCCCAGTCTATCTGAGCACCGCGGAGCTGGCCGACCGGCCGGGGGCTCCACAGCGCCCCCCTCAGTGCCTCCTCGGGCCTGCTCTCGGGCTCACTGCAAGGCCCTGGTGTAAAGCCTCAGGACAGACCGACACTCACCGAATTCCGCCCCAGGGTTGGCCGAAGGGAGCGCTGCCTCCTCCATGCCCCAGTTGAAGATGTAGCAGTTGCCGTAGTCGGGATAGAAGATGGACGTGAAGTTCCTAAAGACACCATCGGCTGGAGGGCAGGGCACAGCAGCCAGTGCCTCCCCAGCTGTTCTCCCGGGCACCTGCTGTGCACGGGGAAGCTGGCGTCCGCTGCCCACCCTCCAGTCACTGCCCAGAGCGGTTCAGGAGGGAGAGGCAAGCACCGGGTCACTTGGTCCACCCCACTATGGGAACCAGAGAAGAAATACCGACTCGCTTTGGTTTCACCATGAGGTATGTTGGTTTTTGTCCTTTGAGACAGGATCTTGCTGTGCAGTCCAGCCTATCTTTGAGCTATGCATCCCAGGCTGGCCTTGAACTTACAGTGATCCTCCTGCCTCAATCTCCACAGTGCTGGTAGCCATGAATAATGAAAAAGAACTTTCTAGATATTTGCATCTCTCATAGATATCTACAAAAACATGTGCCCACGTCCTAGCCCCAGGAGCTGGTCAACATGACCTTATTTGGAAAAAGTCTTCACAGATATGACCAAGGATAGTAAGGTGGGATCAACTCAGATCACCTAGGTGGGCCCTAAACCCAACGCCAAGCACCCTTAGGCAGGTAGAAGAGGAGAATCCACTGCTGTGGAGAAGTCACGGAGAAATGGCGGGAGAGCTCTGCGGGCAGGCTCTCCCCCGAGCCTCTGCGGGAACCGCCCTGCCGGCATCTGGTTTTTGTGGGTACAGAATTCTCCGTGGGAGAACAAGTGTCTCGTTTCAAGCCACTTGGTGTGCGGTAATCATCACGGGACTGCGGGGACTAAGACCACATACAAGGCTAAAAGGCGGCACCAGCCAGCGACCGCGCCGCTGCTCCAGGATGCCTGGGACCAGTGAGGTGGGCAGGGCAAGCCTGCGACAAGGAGAGGAGACAGATGGAGCCAGAGGGGAAGGGACAGAGGGTCCGGGAAGGGCCGCGAGCAGGCCGTCTCTCTGGTCCAGGAGTTCCCTAAGACCCTAAATATGAACGCTTCCAGAAGGTGCTCTGTGGCACTGTAGCACTGCAATGTGGTCTCAAAGAATTCATTAAAAACAGGTGAATCAAAAGGTCTGTGGGTGCTGCTCGGCAGTGAAGCGCGCGCTTCCCATGCGTACAACCCTGGATTGGATCTCCAGCACCGGCCAAAATACGGGAAGCCAAGCAAATGCTCGCTCCCTCTTATGAAACATTTCCAACATAAAAAGCAGAGAAGGAAGCCCCCACCAGTATCTGTTCAGTTCTCATTCTGCTTGGCTGAGCAGTCGTGTTTTAGTGCTACCCTCCACCGACTCTCCCTCCCATACATTTTTCTTTTTTTGTCATTTTGAGACAGGGTCTCACTATGTAGCTCGGGCTGGCCTTGAGCTCATTTTGTAGCCCAGAGTAGTTTCAAACTTGCAAGAATCCTCCTGCCTCAGCCTCCTGAGTGCTGGGATTACAGGTGTGCACCACCACACCTGGCTTCCCATAGATTTTTTTGAAGCGAATCTCAGACTTTAATAT